TTGCTAAAAAAAAAAAAAAAAAATGCACCTTTTCCAGATTTTTAAAATAGCTATGCCCCTGGTTTTGCAGGGTTGGGAGAAAAGCCCTAAACACCCTTGCATGTGTTGGCCTCCGAGCCCGCATCAGAGAACTGTGCGTGCCAGAGCACACAGGCAGGCCAGACCAGTGTCACGTCTCTGAAGGTCACTCATCCCGGATCACTTAGTTCCAGTCAGCAGGATGCAGACAGGTTTCTTCACTGAAGTCCACAAATGTGTATTGAAATTCTAAGACATAGCATCGTTTTCTTTCTCATTGCTGTAGGTGAAGAGTGTCGAGCTCAGCCCCCACACGGATTATCAGCTCAAAGCTGTTGTTCAAATGGAAAACTTACAAGAAGCAATCAGTGCGGTGACTAGCCTCCACAGATACAAAATTGGCAGCAAGAAGATCCTGGTCTCACTTGCCACAGGAGCTGCTAATAAATCACTCTCTTTACTGAGGTAAAAAAATAAATAAATAAGCCATTTGTTTCAGGAAATAACATTTTGGCCCTGAAATAATTTTGTAAATCATAAAAATAGATTTTATCGCAATCCCAACCTTCTTGTGGTGATTACATATGCAATAATGCTTATTCTGAATTGATAGAGTTAGAAATAAACCAGAAGTTAGAAAAAATAAGTTAGAAATAAGCTAGGTAGAATAATTTGACTCTTGTTCAAATCATTAACCAAAGGTGAAGCACAGCCTAGGCTTGGCAGGCACTTAGGAGTGAAATAATACGCCGCAGATCCAGGCAGCTTCTAAAAATAGTAGACCTCCACAATAAAAGTTTATGAACCTGGAAAGTGAAATATTACTTTCAAATCTTACTAGAAAGTGGGTTAGTCTATAGAGGGTAGATCTACAAGCTCTCAACTTGCAGATGTATCCATAATGTCAAATAGACACCCAGTTCCGTAATTCTCATTACGACTATACCAATCTTAGGAATCTGGTGGTGAGTTTTATTGAGAATAAGCTTTGATTCTTTGGCTCTCCTTGTTTTGAGTTTAGTAAAACAGGACTCACTATGATGTGTACTTCATTATTATAAATTGTTCCCCCCACCACCCGAATAAAAATAATACTCATGGAAGAAAATTTGAAAAATTCAGAAACACAAGTAGTGGGGCAGGGGGGATTATCCATAATCCTATGACTCAGAGCTAGTCACTCTTAACAGTTTGGCTTTTTGTTTTCCCTTTAAGTGTTTTTGATGCCTTTCTGTTTTTTAAAACCATAAGTGAGATGATACCATATTCAATTGTGTATCCTCAACTACAGGAATTCCACTCCCGTATTTCTAACATATGAACCACAGTGTAGCAGGAGACATTCAAGCTCTTCTGCCTTTTGCTGTGAATTAGCAAGGTGCTTGTCTTACTGAGTAGTTGGTGTCTTGCCGATGTATGGGTGGAAAGCCCTATGCTTGAGTCAGAGAAAAATCTCAGTGTGTGATTTAATATTCTTTAATTGCCTTCTCCCTAAAGTCCTTTCCTCAAATTTTTCTGGAAAATAAATTCTGACATATTAGAAACTGGTAAATTTGTTTGTGTATACATTATTTATTTTGTATATGTACATATACTAATGTATATAATGTACTGTATGTATTGATTATGGTAATTTTATGTTCTATTTTTTAAATGCAACTTGGAAATCATCTGTTGATTTCCAACAGCTTTTACTCTAAGATTTTGTCTTACAGTGCAGAAACCATGTCTGTTCTTCAGGACGCTCCCGCCTGTTGTCTGCCTCTTTTAAAATTTACAGATATCTATGAAAAAAAGTAAGTTAGGTTTATTTTTTCATTGATCTAGTTAATACTGATTTGTGACTTCCAGAATTCTAATATTGATTGGTGATTGGCATAAAACTTGTAATAACTCTTAAGTAACTTGCAGCCTGGTGGAGGAAATGAGACAAAGACAGTGGTGTTCAAATTTACATTTTGATTTTAACATACTTTTTTTTTTTTTTTAATCCTCACCCGAGAACATGTTTTTATTAGATTTCTTAGAGAAACATTGATTGGTTGCCTCCCTTACACACTCCAACTGGAGATTGAACCCGCAACCTTGGTTGTGTGCCCTGACTGGGAGTCGAACCCACAACCTTTTGGTGTACAGGACGATAGTCCAACCACCTGAGCCACCTGACCAGGGCTTAACATACATTTTTAAAACTTTTTTCATTTTTATTAAATTTAGATCTCAGTCCCCAAGTCTGTATTTTCATTTTTTCTAACTGACTAATCAGTTTTGTTATTTATCCAGTGAACAGTTTTGAGCACCTTCTAGACTGTAAGCTCCAGGACAGTAAGGGCTGGGTCAGGCCCAACACTATCTTCAATACCCAGCACATAGTAGATGCTCAGCAAGTATCAGTGGAGTGAAAGGCTGAGGCTCAGTAGACGGTGCAGAGCTGGGAATACACAGCCTTTGTCCTTGAGGAGCTTATGTCTGGAAGGGAAGGGAAAACAAATTATTACATAGAACAAAGAAACTGTCATTAAAAGGAAAACGTGTTGAGGATACGGAGGATGGAAAGAACAGGAGCCTGACCATTTACGTGAATAATGAGAATCCTGGAGCATTGGGGGAATGAGGCGGGATATGTGGCAGGGACCGTGCTTCAGGCAGACTCTTCTGGTGGCGGTTGTGTCTGAGATGGAATGGACAGGAGAGGAGTGGAGACGAAGGGGAGAATGCTGCACCAGTCCCGGTTCTGAGCAGATGCTGTTGGAACGGAAGGAACCAGATAACACAGAATCTTCAGTTTTTAGTGAGACAGGACTTGGTAACTAGTTTTATATAGTAGGCAAGGTAAAAAGTAGAGGTCAGTTTGATTCTGAGGGTTTTTTTTGCACTGGGAGGATGGTTGTATGGCTAACCTGGAAATAGGGAAACAAAGAAAACATGTTGAAGAGGTATAACAAGTTTTTTATCTTGGTTTTGGACATGAATTTAGGGAGCTATTGGAATATCTGGGCAGAGAGTTTAGTTTGTCCTCTGCACATTTGGAGGATCCCTCAGAAAAGAAGTTGGCTCCCCAGATAAGGCAGTCATTTGCCTGAAGGTGATCATGAAAGACATGGGAGCGGATAAGATCAGAGAAGAGAGGGAGGGAAACGAGGAGAATTGGGTGGAATGCCATGGAGAACCCAGAGGAGGTGTGGGGGTGGCTTGCAACATCAAGGGGATTGAGGCAGTGGCATGAGGTTTGGGGAGAAGAAGGAGACCACTGGTGACTTGAGAAACATCCCTAAAGCGTCCTGTGGATAAAATCCTGGAGAGACTGGACAATGAAACAGGAGAAGCAACTCCAGAGAGGCCAGCTGTTTTGAGAAGATGAGAGTGTGAGAGTGAGAGCATGCAGCAGAATGTGCTTCTGTAGGAGAGGGGCAGAGTAGGAGTGAGGGGGAGAGGATGTGAGACTGGTTTTGGTAGAGGGGAAATCTGAGCATAAGGGAAGAAACCATTGGAGCAGCTATCATTTCATGAACAGATGCTGCATGCCAGGCTCATACATAATCACATTTAACCCTATTATCAATACTGTGACATAGGTATTATCACCCCGTTTTACATATGGGAAAACTAAAGTCCAGACTGATTGTATAATTTGACTAAGGTCATACAGGTCGAATCAGGATATGAGCTCAGATCTGTCTGCCATGATTCAGAGCCTGTCTGTGCCTTTAAGCTCCAAGTATGAAAGATGCAGGTCAGGAGGAGGAATAGGAGGTCCAGTCTCAGAGGAAGTGTGGGTTGTCAGGTTGAGTCGTAGGTAAGGCAAGGTGGTAGCTGGAAAGATGTATACATCTTCTGAGGCAGCAGAGCAGAGATGGTAAGGGGTTATATAGAGGCATTGGAAGTGAAGGGGGGAGCCAAAGTGAACAAGGTCATATAAGATAGCTTCCCATTTCAGAAAACTAGGTGAGGCATTTACAGAAGCTACATGAGAGTTAGGGGGTAGCTACCAAATGATATAACCGTAATGGGCAGTGAGCCCAGATGACTCGAAGGACTGCCAAGCATCACTGGTTTGATAATGAATTTGTAGTAGAATTATTCCAGTTTTATTTTTGAAGCAACAGAGGCACTATTCTTGGTTGTAGCCCTTTACTTAAACAGTACATATGTTTCTGTATAATCAAAGAAAAACATTCTAAGTCAGCATCTCCTTTTCCTTGCTTCTAGGTTTGGACACAAGTTGAATGTGTCAGATTTATATAAATTAACAGACACAGTTGCAATCCGTGAACACGGGAATGGAAGACTGGTATGTCTCTTACCGAGTAGTCAAGCTCGACAGAGCCCCTTGGGGTCTTCCCAGTCCCATGACGGCTCCTCAACGAATGGCAGCCCAATTATATTTGAAGAGTTAGAATATCATGATCCTGTCTGCAGACAGCATTGTTCCAATAAGGATTTCAGGTATAACGCCCATCTCCCTTCAGAAATAATCCTTTTGTTTAAGGTCATGGAATATCTCTTAGAATAACCTTGCTACTGTTTTAGACCACTAGGAAATGTCATCTGACTGTTTCGTTTTCTTTTTTACAGTGAACATGAATTTGATCCAGACTGTTACAAGATTCCTTTTGTGATTCTCTCTTTGAAGACATTTGGGCCCCAGGTTCATAGTCTTCTGCAGACACATGAGGGCACTGTGCCTTTATTAAGGTGAACAAACATGTCAAAACCATTGTGACATGATGCCTTAGTTCTCCTCTTTATAGAATATCTCCCTCTCTGTCCACACCTCTCCCCATGCAAGTATTGTGGAATGTTTCATCCTAGTGTCCTTAGCCTCTTAGTCAAAATATATCTGAAATGGGCCTATTTACTCAGTATTAATTTTTGTGCTGAATTTTGGAAACAAACATGAGTAGGGCATTTTCCTCTCTGCATAGAAGAGATGATTGTAAGTGCTATAATAGAAGTATGCACAAGTGCTATGAGAGTATGCACAAGCTCAGACAGTTGTAGATTTCAAAATCTGAGAGAGAAAAGTATTCTTCGCAAGTTCATGGAACCATACCATTGGTCATCTGGTAGACAGTACAAGGGCCATTGCAAGACTAAGTTGCCTTACAGCCTGCAATACATTAAAGCAAATGAATAACTGACTTGGAATCCAGTTGCCTTATTTTTAACCCCCTTGGCTGGAAATTTGTCCAGGAATTTCTGGTACCATCAGAATGCATCAAAGAAGTAAATTCCACAGTGATTGACTCCCAGTGACCTTAATTTTAACTCCAAACCCAGATTATGGACATTTAAATTGTTTATTAATGGGTACAGTAAAATAAAGGCTTCTGTTTAGCAGGTGCTTTGCTTTTCCATTATTTTAATTGACTTTTTTTGTTTTTTGTTTTTTTACTTCAGCTTTCCAGATTGTTATGCCTCAGAGTTTGGGGAACTAGAAGTATTGCCGGAAAACCGAGGGGCTGTTCCCTTAGAACACCTCATCACCTGTGTTCCAGGTGTAAATATTGCCACTTCACAGAATGGCATCAAGGTAGTGAAATGGATTCACAATAGGCCCCCTCCTCCAAACACAGGTAGGTGTCAGGTGTTTGGTCCTTCTGAGCCACCATCTATGTCTAGAGAAGGCCATTGGCTTTTATCTTAAACAGATATAAAGGACCATGGGTATCTCCTTTAATCTTTTAAAAACAGCTCTCTAAAGTGGGAAGGTTTGGTAGTACCAGACTTTTTGAAAGTACCAGCATAAATTATATAAGAAATTTAAAACCCAAATTCCACAGTAACAAATGTCTCTAGCTACCTAATTTTGTGAAGCTTTTTGACTCGTTGGTTGACTTGTCCTTTTAAAACGAGGTTCAAGTATTTGAAGGAAATATCTCTGAATGCAGATTTACCTTTGAAATTCATTTTGCTTGACATTTCTGACTTTGATAAATGGGAAAATAGATTTAACTTTAAAGGACCAGGACATTTGGACTTAGATTTAGGTGAGTTTCTAAGTCCTGGGCATCCCCTGAGTTGCAGGTGTCTAATCCTGCTACCTGGGAACAACACTTCAAGTTGTTGCCTTTATACCTCCACTTCCTTCTCTTTGGGCCTCAATACTTCCTCCTTTTCTCCCCCACCTCCCCATCTCCTATATGAAGAGAGGTATGGATAACCAGGGAGCTCTCTACCAAAGCTTCTTACCCACCTCCTGCCTTTCACCTCAGTCCTAGACCACTCTGGGTTCCATATATTATGCTGTTAAATTATATGAACATCAAGATAAATGCAAAAATCAGTTTCTTAGTTTTATATCATGGTAGTTTTACGTTATTGCTTTACATGGTTTCCTGGGCAATATTCAGCTTCTTTATGGGTTAACTAGGCTTTTCTGGGCTACCTGCTTGATGACCATTTATAACTTTGTTCCGGTGGGAAAGTATGTTCCATGCGACCAGATTACAAGTGGGTCTTTGAAATACAACCAGCTTATAAGCTGGAAACTTCCTGTGCATTTTCACTTCTGCTTTAAGTTAGCACTGTGGTGAACTATGCTTTGCATTGGCAACTTGACTTTGAGAAGTAGTGGGAAAGCCTTTGCCAGCCCATAAATAAGTTGGGCTAGCCTGTTAATTATATGGGACCTGAGAATAGAAGCTGAGAAGTAAAGCAGCTAGTTGGTCTCGTTTGCTTGATCATGACTGAACTCAAGCAAGGGAGCTCAGGGTTAGTTACCTACCTGTCTTTCAGCCGATGAAGTCATGCTTTGTATCTTATGCATGTTCTTTTTCCTCCCCGCTATCTAGACCCTTGGCTTCTACGTTCTAAGAGTCCTGTAGGCAACCCTCAGCTGATCCAGTTCAGTAGAGAAGTGATTGACTTACTGAAGAACCAACCATCCTGTGTCATGCGAATTAGTAATTTCATCCCATCCTATCATCATCATTTTGCAAAGCAATGCCGAGTATCAGACTATGGATATTCCAAGCTGATTGAATTATTAGAAGCAGTGCCTCATGTGTTGCAGGTAAAGAATACTAAGGGATTATTGGTTAAAGATGGGAATATTCCTTCATGACTCTGGCTATCTCAGCCAAAGAACTAGGATAGCTGGTAATCTAAGTCCTACGCCAATTCAGAGCAAAACATCCAGTACAAGCTTTCTTTGTAGTACAGAAAACATACGCAGGGTGTCTTAATTTTTTTAGAAAGTTTTGAGCTTCCAACTTAAAGGAAGTCCTTAGAGCACTAAGAGTTATTTTCCTTCTGATCTCTGTAGACTGACCTTCCTCCTCCTAGCACATACCTCTCCAGAAATGTTCACTGTTACATGGGAATGGCTGTGAACACAGTTTACCTTTCTTATAAATGAGTTGAAGACCAGTTACTGCCTGGAGCCTAGCATTGATTCCTAAGAAGTCCTTGCCTATTAATTTATACTATTATAATAGTAAAATGGCCTAAAAAGCTTTAGCTGTCCTTTAGAGACAAATTATTTGCCCAGACTGATAACATGTTTTTTGTTTCTCTACTCATGACTATTTGGGAAGGGTGTGCAGGGCAAAAAAAGGTCCCAGGCCCTGAGCAGTTGTTCATTTTGATCGTTTAGTTTGTTGATCTACCTGTGTTCCCAGATGCAGTTCTCATACATAAAGGGGGGTTATCCTCTGAGGCGGTAACGGAGAAAAGCCAGCAGCAAGAAAGTATCTGCCAAGGTTTTATGCATATAAGTAATCCAAGTTTTGATTTGCAGATTCTTGGAATGGGCTCCAAACGTTTGTTGACCCTCACACACAGAGCCCAGGTGAAGCGCTTTACTCAGGATTTACTAAAACTTCTCAAATCCCAGGCCAGCAAACAGGTCATTATGAGAGAATTCTCTCAGGCTTATCATTGGTGAGTTGATGAGAAGGGGAAAAAAAAAATTCTTTTTAAATGTTTTCTTCCCCTAAATTTTAAAGAATTACCTAACTTCTACTAAGCATTCTTTTGGAAAACTTACAGTTATTCTGACAAGCACTATTTCTCATTCTTTACCTGTTTCCATGGTTAAAATCTAGGTGTTTCTCAAAGGACTGGGAAGTCACCGAATATGGGGTTTGTGAGTTGATCGACATCGTTTCAGAGATTCCAGACACAACCATCAGCTTGTCCCATCAAGATAACGAAATGGTGATTTGTATCCCCAAAAGAGGTATGTTGACTGGGAGAAAGTGTCTGTCTCAGTGGTCATTTTAACATGGAACCATGGAAGATGCCTCTTTCTCCACCTTGTTCATGGATTCCCTAGAAAGTGCAGTGTGAGAACTGCTCTGTTGTGCAGTGGATCCCAGGTTCTTCCAAGTAGGTGGAACCACTTGTTGAGAAGAAAAGCAAGCTAGTGTTTTAGAATCCACTCTAAGGGGAAAGGCATAACCAGCACTTTCTTAAAATGCCTCTGGAGCCTGTCTGAGGCCGTCTGTGCCGTAATTATCCAGCTGAGAGTCAGTGGCCGTGGCTGTTCCTGTCTCTTTAAGTCTGAGCTACTTTACAGCACACACCTGAAAAGGAAAGAAAACTCAAATCACTGTTTTGTGTTACCTTTCACATTTAGTAGTTCCAGTTGAGGTCTGAGAGAGGATAGGTAGATTAAATCTGCATGCTGTCACGTTCTCCCACTATTACTCATCAGTGCTTTTCTTAACCTGTGCTCCTGTACAACACTGTGTCCATGAAATCATAGCATTTCACAGCTACAGTGAGTAATGTCAGTCTTTTCCCAATTCTGGTTTTAAAATTAATAGAAACAAAACTCTTAAGTTTAAGCTTTTTCTCCCATCTTTTTTGTTAAACTTTTGACGCCTGGTAGTCATTTCTGCTGGCAATACTAAGTGAATAGCAGATGAATAAACAAAGAGCATGTGAACGTTCAGAAGTGTGATTTCATAGAAATAATAGGCCTGTGTGGTCATGCTCGTATGGGGTGAGGGTGAAACATGGTGGGTGGCTAGAGAAATTATTTCTAGCTTATAAGAAGCAGCTAAATAGGTGTCTATGTGTGTGTATGTGTATTTCATTATATATGTAATAGTGTTCTGACTCCTGGTACTCTGCCTTTGAATGAGTTTGAAAACCATCTGCAAAGAGAGAGGAGTGTGTTTGTTTTAGGTTGTTTGTGTTTGGAAGGTGAAAATAATATCTCTTGTAATCCGTGCATAGGACTAACTACAGTAATAATATTGAGCACAAATGGGTAGAAGAAGATTGTGACTTGTATTGGTTTGTTTTTTTTAAAGAACGTACCCAGGATGAAATAGAAAGGACAAAACAGTTCTCCCAGGATGTTGTTGATTTGCTGAGGCACCAGCCCCATTTCCGGATGCCCTTTAATAAGTTCATCCCCTCTTACCATCACCATTTTGGCCGGCAGTGCAAACTCTCATACTATGGGTTTACCAAACTACTTGAACTTTTTGAAGCCATACCCAATATTCTACAAGTAAGTGAAGAAATTCTATTTTCCTGAACAATATAAGGGGACTTTTTTTTTCCAGAGTAGGGAGTTATGAAATAGAAATATTTCAAATTTTGATCCTGTTAGAGAAGCTATGTTGTTGGCTCATTAGTATTTAGGTAACTGTGTTTTCTTATATCAATATAGAAATAAATCATTCTTCAAACTTGTTTTAGGGTAATTATTGAAAAAATGATTAAATACTTTAAATTTATAAATTGATTATTCTTTCATTAGCTCCATACTTTTCAAATTTCTGTGTTGGAGCTGGGGATTAGTACATGGGGTGGGGGTGATACAAATGATTAGCTGTTTAGTTGTTGGTAACTTAAACCAGATTTCTGTTGTTGACTTTTATTAATATTACCATTTTTGACCCTCAAAGTGCTGTTTAGATTTTTTTTAATTTTGTAGTAAGATGCACATTATCTACTTAACTATTTTTAAGTGTACAGTTCAGCTGTGTTAAATATATTTACATCATTGTGCAACCAAGTTCCAGAACTTTTTAATCTTGAAAAACAAACTATATTCATTAAAGAACACCAAAGCGCTTTTTAGTTACTATACATTTTCATGCCATTTAATTCCAAAAGTAGTCCTAACGTTTTCAGTGTTCCTTGCCTTCTCCTCTGTTTCCAAGGTATTGGAATGTGGAGAAGAAAAAGTCCTCACTTTGACAGAGGTAGAACGATTCAAAGCTCTAGCTGCCCAGTTTGTTAAACTCCTTCGTTCCCAAAAAGATAACTGCCTTATGATGTCAGATCTGCTCACAGAATACGCCAAAACTTTTGGTTACACATTTCGTCTCCAAGACTATGATGTCAGCTCAGTTTCAGCTTTAACACAGAAGCTCTGCCATGTTGTGAAGGTAAACAGATTTTTTTCATGGAATAACACTTGCAGCATGATCTTCATTGGGTGTTCATTTGTGCTTTAGCATTTCTAGGCACACGTCGCGCCATTTAACTGCTTCACAACTTGCTTTGTGTGTCCTTAATACCTTATGAGATAATAGAAGATGACTTAGGTTTGGCAGTTTAGATTTCGGATTTGCCTTTGTGTGTTTATTAGTGGCCTAGTCAAAGTTGTGTCTTGAACTGATGAGGTCACTGTTTGTCCCAGGGTGTTTATTCCCAGTTATATCGGTCTCGGTGCTGCTGGCCTGAAGTTGGGATCCATCTAAACAGACCTTCATCTCTGAAGTTTCGGGGAGACTAATCACAAATCTCTCCTCCCTTCCAGATTCTGACTTACTTAAGGAGTAGATGTAGGAGCAAGCTAGCTGAGAGTTGCCCTTGTTGCTGGTAACACTGGATTGGAAAGGGTACCTTCCTCTTCTTCCCTGCCTTTCACTGACTGAGCCTCCCAGCCCTAGGCAGAGCAGCAGGACAGTTTTCAAGCTGCATCCACCCCAGAACCAAGAAAACTCACTACAGGGAGGAGGAAACGGAAAGGAAAGCACAAAGTGGTGGCAGCCTCAGTCACAGGTCTGGAAAGAATCTATTTATGTACTCGAGTGGAGGGGTAAAATCCTTTGCAGGAGACAGACGTAGCTGCTGGAGAGTGGGAAGAACACCAAGAGTGTGGAGCATTGAGGACCATGGAGGAGGAATGGCCAGCAGCATCTCATGCTACTGAGGGCAAGGGACACAGGGCTAATGAGACCTATGGATCTAGCTAAGTGAGCATGTTCAAGAGCTACTGAGAGGATCTACTTGAGAGAGAAAATAAATATACAAAGACAAGAAAGGGTGATGGGCGAGGGTCCTGAGGAGGCAGGAGTTGTCATTCAGTGGAAGGAGGGACAGCTCAGATATCAATATTTTCATTTCAATAAAAGGGAAGGGATGTAGGGTGGATGCAGATACAGGTAAAGGTGATGTTTGTCACCAGGAAAAGGAGGGAGTTACCTTCCAAGAGCTATTTTTCTGTCAAGTAGAAGGTGAGAGCAACTGCTTAGAGAGAGAAAAAGAGAGAGACAGGATTCAAGATTGAAGAGCATGCAGAAGGTTTGGAATTGTCATGGTGGTAAGTGGAAGAGTGACCAGGAAATCAGGCAGGGCTGCTGGGAGTATGGAGAGCTCACTGGAAGTTTGTGCTCATAGGCTTACTTTGGTGAAAATCGTGGCATGGCTGCTTAGGTGTGGCTCCAGGAAAGTAGATAGTTGGGTTCGAGGTGAGATTTTGCCAGATGGGTACAACAAAAAGGCATAGGGACAAAGGAGTTTGGAGTGTTGACATGATTGTTAATGAATTAATGGCCTATCAGTGCCAAGATGGATGAAAAAGGGGAGAAAATAGGAATCAATGCTGGTGAAGCTGCAGAAAGATAAGAATCGAATCTTTCTTTTCTCCCACCCAATGTCTGCTTTAGCCTCCTGTTAGCATGCAGGATGCATGGGAGGTTTGAATGAGTTATTTTGGAAGTGGGCAGTGACAATATTCCAAGTATGACCCTGGGAATGGGAGTCTGGAGTGGAATCAAGTAGAAAGGATGTCACAGGAGATGCGAAAGTTGAGGCACTGAAAGGCCGTGATGTGGGACATGCCCCCTGGGATGCTCAGTCACCCAGGACAATGGCAGTGCTGGCCTTGGTGGAGAGGAAGACTAAGCCATGACCAGAGACTTTGCCAAATAAGGGTGAATGATGGGGAAGCTTGGCTGTGAGCAGTGGAGACAGGAAAAGATGGGAGAGGCTACCCTGGCTGCACTTGAACCCCCTGGGGAGCTTCCGGGAAATTCCAATGCCTGGACTTCACCCCTGCCTCTGAGATTCTTAAGTAATTAGCCCGAGTGTGCTCTTAGCATTGGCGTTTTCTATAAGCGGCCTGGGTGATTCTAATGTGTAGCCAGGGTTGAGAAGCAAGAGATGTATCTAAGTAGCATCAAAGGAGTGGGAGTAATAGTAATGGTCTGGGCATTTAAGAAGATAACTCGGGCTCCCCGGGATTTATAACACTGATTGATTAAACCTCATGCGTGCACACGAAATGTGTAGTATAAATCTCCACAAATCCGTCATCTTGATAAGTGGAGGGGGGTGTCTACCCACCAGTCTCCTGTCTTGACTCTAGGGAAACGTCAGAACCAAAGACACACTGATAGGGATGTCTGGTCAAATGCCAGCCGCCTCTCCTTGCCTCCGAGGATCCAAAACCCCAGCTGGGCCCTGGCTCATGTGGCTCAGTGGTAGAGTGCTGGCCTGCACACCACAGGGTCGAGGGTTTGATTCTCGGTAAAGGGCACGTGCCTGGGCTGTGGGTTTGATCCTCGGCCCCAGTTGGGGCACGCGTGGGAGGCAACCGATAGATGTCTCTCTCACAAAGATGTCTCTCTCTCTCTCCCTCTGACCCTCCCCCCCCCCAATCTCTTCCACTTTCTCTAAAAATCAATGGAAAAAATATCCTTGGGTGAGGATTAACAAACAAACTAAAACCCCAACTGGAAAGCCAGGAACATGGAAAAGCAGCTGTAGTAGTAAATACCGGTTTGCCTGCCAATGTCTAAGCAGTGTGTATACTGAAGCTCTGCCTGTTTTAATTTCATTGAAGGTTCAATTCACAGACTCGTCCACCCCTGCCCAAGACCTGTGGATCTCAGTCACCAGATGCTTGTTCCTTTACAA